AATTTACTATTTACTTCTGTTTCCGTTATGACACTTCCGTTGAATCACTGATTTAAAATTATTAATAATTAATTAATAAATTTAAATCGATTGCCTTTGCGGCATTTTACGTATATTTGCCATTTTTCTACAGTCCTTAACTGAAATGGCCATGCCTCAACGGTAAAATCAATGTGAAGTATACTTGTAAGGAACCGATTTTTGATGACTACATATTTTTCAATAAATAAATAAGTAAATTATTGTTAAAAATTGCTAATTACTTTTTTTGGTTTGATTAATCTAGCGAAGACACAGTATCTGTTTTTTTTTGCCCGTTTCAGTTTTCTTGTCTAAAAATTCTTTGCAAATTGATATTTTAAAATTAACTTCCAATAAACTGTATTTATGCACTAACGGGAATATTTTTTTTTTTTAAATACTAGAAAGTAGAAACAAATTATTGCAAATGATAAATACGATTTTTTTTATCTTAAATGATTTTAAAACTCAAACTTCTTAATGGGATAAAAAAGATGAATAATTATCTGCTTAACATTATAAACATGCAATGTTTTAACCGAACAAAAACACAAAGATATAATATGTACCTGTCTATAGATATAATTAAAGGTATTTTTAACGTAAATTTCATTACCGATTATAACGCTACATATGCTTATACAGGTATGGAAAGAAGTACACCGAACATCGAAATTACACATTTTTCTTTGTCTATATATTTTCCTTTTAATAATTTAGTGAACGTATGGAATATCCAATTACGTACTGGTTTAGGACAGAGAAATTTCTTACTTCTTTATTTTATACTAACTGAACCCTCCATCATCATTTGAGCATTTATTTGAAGTACTGATGTTAAAGTCTATTTCAATTTGTCAGAATTTTGACCTTGAAGAAATCTGCGCGAAGATAGAAAGAATACACACTAGGCGTGAGCAAGACAGAAATAGTTGGAACAAGTTTGAACGAGCAGAGCTCTCGATGGGCGGTCTTAGAAGATCGGCTAGAAATGTACAGTACTAGACGAAAATGTTAAGCAATTTCTTAAAACAAAAATGTATATAAATTAACAAAATCAAAAGTTTTATAGGTGTGTAGAACGTTAAGTTAATTCACTGGTTATTATTTTGGGCTAAATATGCTTTTAAATAAAGCATATTCTTATATTTTAACGAGGTAGTTAAAATAATTTTGCAAATGGTACTGTACACTTTTGACTAGTTCTCGCTCGATGATCGGTGGAGAAATGAGCTCCACAGATAAATATGATTGAATTTGGAATTATGCTACGGCGGATCCTAATAAAAGGAAGGGGCATATCTCCAACTTCTTGAAACGAACAGTAGGGAGCGGAAATATGGGGAGAGCCAGAGCACAAAGTAATCGAAGGAGTACAAAACAAATACATAAAATGGATCCTCAGGCTTGATCAAACAACACCAAGCTACCTACTAAAATTAGAAACAGGCAACGAAAAGGTGGCAAATAAGGAAAGAAAAAGGGCGATAAAATATTAAGACATAATTAGGAAAACGGGAAGTAATCTAATTAAATAATTCCTAAAAGTAAAAGGCAGGATACTTACAAATACAGGAAAAGGAAAATGTAAAAAGGGAAAAGAGTCAATAGCAGAAAAGTGGAAGATAGAGAGAAGGAATTACTTTCTAGAAAAGAAATGGACACCTGACTACTATAATCAACTTACGGAGAATAACAGCGACATATTTCCATAAGCAGAGAAAATTGAAAAAGAACAAGACAGACAAAAACTAGAGGAAAAGCTAAATTCATCGAAATACAAAGAAATTAACCCAATCGATAAATCGAAATACTTGAAAGAGCTACATAAATGCAGAAACGAGCTGAAGATGTATGCAAGATTCAGGTTAGGGTCAGAAACGAAAGCTAATAAGTATTGGCAGCTAGAAAAGGAAAGACTATTCAGAATGTGTAAGAAAAAGGAGAAAACACTTCAACATGTACTAGAAAAATGTAAGCACACGGGAAAAGAGCAAGAAAGTTGGATATCGCATTTCACGGGACCAGGCGGTCATGCAAGAATGTGGAATATAAAGGAAGAAAAAGGAGAGGGAAAAAACGAAGAGCACGATATTGACACATAGAAAAGAAAAGAAAGAAGTAGAGCGAACACACACACACATCTACACACACAAAAAGACACACACCCCACACACATCTACTGTAAATAAGAATAACAATTTTGTTAATAAAGCTATTACCTACATGTGCTTATTTTACATCATTAATAAAATGAAAATATGGTCGAAGGCATTTGTACTGATTTTTCTAAACCTTGTCGTATTGGGATCCGTCAAATGGGCATACACCATCTGGTGGTATAGTTTATCACTCGAATGAGGGAAAAATTTACATAGGAACTGTGCACGCAAATTGTAAAATTGTTTATCAAAATAATAAAACACGTTAAAAAGGTAAAAATGTTTTTGATGATGAAGTTTTCTTCTAAAGTTAAATCAAATAAAAAGTTAATATGTTCAGTGAGAAGCTGCAATGGCACTTCAGACATAAATCTTCACTCTTCACCTACATTAACTACTTTCCAATAAAAACTAACCGTTTTNTTTTTCGTCTCCTATCTTTATATTCGCTCTTTCCCTACTTTTTCTTCCCTTGCATATCAGTATTTTAGTTTTACTTTTATTTATTTTCATACTGTACTGATCTGTCATGACCGCTTCCATTTTATTTAAAGCTATTTCTAGGTCCTCATCCTACATCCTGCGTAAAAAATATAAAATTAAACAATCAACTACATTAGAGAACTTTACTTCCTCTCTCTCCCCCCCCCCCTTTATTATATCGTAAGAATCGTGTTAACTCTGTATCATGCGACACAAAATGAAAATGCAAGTCAAAATTGCCATTTTTTGGTAGCAACGAATACTGTTGATAAGATTTTAAATAAATGATTGTAAATAGACTCAATTTTGTGATCGACAAATGACATGATAAATTGGTGGCGCTTTTTGTATAAAAGCTATAATATGTATTACCGAATTTTGGTAATTTGGTAATAAAGTAGTCCTGCACTGTCAAATGGATAGAGAAATAAGCCGCAAACATTTTGAAGACAATAATGTGCCTAATATTTTCCTTGATGTTTAAATATGCGACCAAAAATCCTTTTTCCAACGAAGATTAAAATAAGGTATACATAAAAATATTTAATGTTGAAGGCTCCTAAAGCCTGAAATATTACATGTATATTGGACTATAGAGTCACCATAAAACTTTTTGCGTACAAATTTTCTTTAATCGTTGGTACCTTTCGCAAATCTGATTGTATGCATTAAAAAAACTTACCAATTCTTGCAGATTCATCGTCATTTATCTTCCTGGTCGTCTTTCTGCAAAAAGAAATAAATTAATATTATGCACGATAATGTAATTACATATAAGAATAACATACCAAATTTAATAATAATAAAATCGAAAAAATGTACAATTGTTACTGTTTTTGCACTAATATTTATAAAATGTTTTTATTAGTAAACTGGTTATTCGGTATTATTATCGACAACTCGTGTATGTGCTTTTTGAGACTGTTCATTGTTTATTTAAGTGCCTACTGATAGTTTTTATGTAATTATAAATCACCACCACTATTTTTAATCACCAAAGTTCGTAAATATAATTAAAATACGCGTACAGTGCATTAATTACTATCAATCGCCCTATACAGTACAAGCTTCGTACTTTCTCGTATTTGTTAGCCGTTCGTCGCAGTCCTTACGAAATCTTGCGCAGCTTTCTTCGTGCGTGTTATCGCCTGACCATAACTCTGACATCATCTCTAAAAATAGAATAGTAACCGTGGCCGTGTTGTATCCTTTTATTAGTAATGCAGAATACCTGATAAATGATAAGACAATAATAACAGACAGAGCATTAAGTCGCCATCTGTAACAACTTAAAAGCAGCTTTTTAAGTTTAGAAAGTTGATAATTTTCAGATTTCTGCTTATGAAAAAGAATTTAGAAAGGAAGGATTTATAAAGTTTGTAGGTATTGTTGAGCTCGAATGGTGAAACAAAAAAAGTTGTAATGATAAAGAAATAACATATAATACGTAGAGATAAATAAGATTTTTTGCAAAAAAAAATAATTTTTCCTTACATGTTAGGGCGACAAAAAGGTAACCACAGCAAAAAACAGCAAGGGTATTTAAACAAAAAAAACTTATTTGACACAAAAAAGGAACACCTTGCCTTTTCTCTATTTATTCACAAGTATTTAAAGGAATTTTCAAAATGCAAGTAACCTTTTAAAAACAAAAATTTATTTAGCACAAAATTTAAATTATATTATGGATAAAATACATAAAGAAGATACACAACTAATTTTGGAAAAAAAAGAAGTATACAGCATAAATTTATGTATAAATGTTACTTAAATAAATTTTTATTGTTTTACTATGCTTTTGTTACTTAAAATGCATAAAAAAGCATAAATATTTCACATATGTTTTTGGAAAAATAGACATATTTATGCATAAACCTCGACGTTTTGGTAAGTCATACAATTTTATGTTGCAAGACCAAAATCGAAACCAAGACCAAGGAGTACGACTTATTAATTAGCAATAATTTAATTCAACTTATCAACTAGACTAGAGTGTGGTTACTGTCAGAACGACAGACGTTGTAGGGAATATCGTAAGGAAAGGAAAGAGAGGTCAGATAAGAATTGCAGCGAACACCATTGAAGAAAAAGGAATAACATTACACCAATCGAATGTAATACATCAGACTTGTTCAACATTCTCAGAAGTTTAAGAAAGCAAAGACGTTTGTTTAAAAATATAATTCCCCTACTGCAGCCTGATCTATTACGTATCTCGGTAACTTCTCACTGCTGCACCCCTTACTATTATTCAGTTATCTCTTTCCACTTTGTCTGCACTACTCATGAGGCATTTCCTAACTTAATAAGGGTGTATTCAAAAAGCAGCAAATGCCTAGTCCGAAATGGAAACAACAAAGAAGATATGCCCATTCTCACAGATAATTTGTTGCGGACTATGCCAATTTTGATCGCCCCATTATACCTACAAAGCCTTCTCTTTAATTTTTTTATTGGTAAGTGCATTAATGGCGTTGGAAATTCGTAATTTCGAAAATATTTATTTTACAAGTTTGAGCGATCAACAAGTGACAACAACAGTAATGAGCTTCCACTTTCGTATTCATAAAAAAACACTTGTTAAATTATCCACCATTTTATAGATCGTGAAAAGCTTCAGTAACATCAACCTTCCTATTATGGGTATATTCAAGAACATATTTTCACGTACATATATGTATTAAAATGGCAACCACAATTGAAATAAATTATGAAAAGGATATCCGTGAACCACACTTAAGCCGATATTTTATTGTTCTTGTACTCAACTGTAACTTAGCATTTATCAATTATAAAATAGGTTCATACTTATCGTTGGTCAAAAAACTGGATCGATGTTGGTGCAGGAACTTGCGTAATTTGAAGCTATTGTATATCGTACTCGTTCCCGTACCGGGTAACACGTACAAAATGAAATAAAATAAGTACTCACAGCAAGTAAAAACAAGCTTGATTAAGTGATTTTCTTCAGCCAGTTGTGATAAACCACTTTATTCAATTTACAATATGTATATTACGTACTTTGTACATATTATTTTTTTAAACGTAAGGCAGCAATCCACAATTTTTATTTTTCATGCTCGATTACTATTTTACACCTAAATCGATGCATCGATAAATAATTGATTACACAGGTCTGCGAAATTTTTTTTGAAAAGTTTTTTTCGTAAATTGTTAATATTTGTCGTAATTGTCTTAAAAGTAATAGAAAACGACATTCATATGCTGTATACCACGTCACATTAACCCATAAATGCTCAGAGAACACATTTCCATTTGAACCCTTGCCACGTAATGAGTGCGACGAAAAAATATTCGATAACCAGTGTTTCTATGTTTTTAGCGATGCTGTTTTGGAAAATAAACAAAAAAAAACGGGATTTTTGAATTGACTTTTTTCTTAAAAAGTAATTTTTTGTGTCCTTACGAATTTTTTATATGCTTAAAACTTATATAAATCATGACCTCGATATCTAAACATGAAATAATCACCGTTGGTCAAGTCAAAATGCCTTTACAAACTGTTTGATCAAACCAAGTTTAATGTAAAGTGGTAGAAGCAATACTTTCTTCTTTTAAACTCGTATTGATGACATTTTTCACTCCGAGTTTCAATTGCATTTTAATTTGGACAGAAATACCGAATAACAATGATTATGATTTACCATAAGTCCACTATTTTAACACTTCAACACATAACCGGCATATTGTATCGTAACCCAGTGTTTATCTTGGTGACAACTTCATTCTGAAGTAAGCTTAATAAGCATTTTTTACAAAGTCTGTTATATTCAATGTAAAAAAATACATTTGAATTGTTTTTACAGAAGCCATAGTTAAAGATAAATGAAACACAATCTTTTATTACACGTTAATATTATATCTCTCTCAATAATGGCGCGCTATAAACTATTTTTTTTTTCAGGCGGTGTAAACTACTATAGTTACTTTCAGACTATCTAAAATAAAGTAAAAGACAATATAATGCTCAGTCAGAGAGTATTAAATAGAAATATAAGCTATAAAATTAATTTTGTGAAAAAACAAATAAATTTGCCAATTCAAAGAGTCATATATTAATCTACATGCAAAAAATAATGTGACGTGATACATTAAAACAAAGTTTATATTTGCAAATTATAGACCAACATCTGTATGCTTAAGATAAATTTATACAAAAAACGTTTTTATCGAAGACCTGTGTAATTGATGAAACATTTCTTTCGCCTGGACGTCGATCGCTCTTTTGTTGGTCAGTGCAATAATGTGGTACCTACTTGTACTGAGTTTTTAAGGAACAATTCGCAATAGGAATCAAGTAAACGAATTTTCAAGGTGATATTACATTCAAAAAGGTGTACAGTATTTACTGATACTTTCAAAAATATTAGAACCATGTATGCATGTCGTTTCTTGGTAACTATGAAGGTTATTTTCGTCAAATAAAATAAAACAGACATGGAGAATTTAAAAACTTATATTTCTTTGTATAGTAATATGTAAACCTTTATTAATAATACACACTGTCTGTAAAACAGTAGTAACACCTAAAATAAAAAAAGAACATGTGTATTTGTAGAATTTTAATGATTTTAATAATATTGTTTAGTAACGTAAATGAGACTGTTAAAATGTAATTAAAATCTTGCAAAATACATATATGTATAGAAATGCAAGAATGCAAATTTTATTTGGTTTTATACATTGTGAGGGCAATGTTTTATAACATGTTACATGTTCAGCATTTCTCCTTCTACTATGGCAAATTGCAGAGTAAAATGTACTAGTTTAGTGCTGATTTGCCAATTTTTGTTTTATTGTGAACTTTTAATTTATATTTAATATCGTAGTCACCTGATAGGTGGACATTACAGATTCACATGGCTAATTCGAATATCTGCATGGCTAGATTATGCTTTGACTTCTCTGATTTTCTGTAATTTTTCTTTAAACTTTTATTTGCTTTATTAAAAAATAGTAGCCTATGGGCAGATATCTACTTATGTTTCGTTAAACAGAATTCTTCTAAATGTTTAAATCTCATCATCATAAGGTCGTTAGTCCTAAGACTTTTTGGGCACGCACCTCCACTCCTTCCTATCCTGAGTTAATCTTCACATTTCCCTAAAACTAGAACATCCTTAACTATTTGCGAATAGTACTTTAATCTAGGTCTACCCCTACTCCTCTTAACTCCTATTTTTGCCTCTAATATGTCTTACTAGACTTTGATGCTTGAGAAGGTGTCTCTTCATCATTAGCCTGTAACATCACATTTCGAACGCTTCTAACCTTTTTCTTTCCGCCACGACCACCGTCATTGTTTCGCACCCGTACACCTTTAACAATTTTTTTCGAATTTCTACATTAGTCGTTCGCAAGCATAGAAGTGACTTCTAAAATCAGCCACTTCTTCTAATCTTTCGTCTCCTATCTTGGTATTTACTCTTTTCTTACTTTTTCTTCCCTTGCATACCAGTATTTTTGTTTTACGTTTATTATTATATATGTTATTATTATATTCTGAAACAATAGGTAGCGAATTATTTACTTCTATTTGATTGAAAGTATAACACCTAATTTTCCATGTACATTTATTTCTACAATTTATAAAATAACGATAATTTATATCCTTTATTTTCAATATTTACGTAAAATTTCGATTTTATTATTATTAAGTACGTGCAGAAGTTGAACTTGTATTCTTCTTTGGTTTATA